CTGATGCTGATGCTGATGTTTCTGTTCATGCTGATGCTGATGCTGATGCTGATGATGATGCTGCTACTGATGATGATGATGATGATGATGATGATGGTGGTGATGATGATGATGATGATGATGATGAGGATGCTGATGATGATGATGATGATGATGATGATGATGATGATGATGATGATGATGATGATGATGATGATGATGATGGTGACGATGCTGCTGCTGCTGATGATGATGATGATGATGCTGGTGATGGTGCTGGTGCTGATGATAATTCCTACGTAGCACCCCGCAATTGCGGATAAGAGTGAGGGGGCGGGCGCGGGCGCCGCGGGCGTCGAGCCGGCGGACCGCCGCAGGCGCCGAATTTTTGGCTTGTTCAGTGAACGTAGTTTGGGTCGCGGGTGGGTCGCGGGCTCTCTACCTCAAAAAACAGCCCGCCGCAGGCGCCGAAAGTTTTGATTTGTATACTGACCGCGGTTTTGGTCGCAGGGTCTCCACCTGGAACGAATGCAAAAGAGACCCGCCGCAGGTACCGATTTTTTGGCTTGTTCCTTGAACGTAGTTTGGGTCGCGGGTGGGTCGCGGGCTCTCCATACCTCCACCTCGATGGAATTCAAGAACAGCCCACCGCAGGCGCTGAAAATTTCGATTTGTATATTGAACACGGTTTGGGTCGCGGGTGGGTCGCAGGTTCTCCACCTAGAACGAATGCAAATGAAGCCCGCCACAGGCGCCGAAAATTTTGGGTGGGTCGGGGGTGGGTCGCGGGGGGTCGCGGATGGGTCGCGGTGGGTCGCGGATGGGTCGAGGGCGCGATTTGGGTCGCGGGTGGGTCCAAGGTTCTCCACTTGGAACGCATGCAAAAGAAACCCGCCGCAGGCGCCGAAAATTTTGGGTTGGTCGCGGACGGGTCGCGGGTGGGTCGCGGGTGTGTCGCGGTGTGTCGCGGGTGGGTCGCGGGTGGGTCGCGGGTGGGTCGCGGGGTGGGTCGCGGGTGGGTCCCCGGTGGGTCGTGGGTGGGTCGCCGGGGGGTCTCGGGGTGGGTCGCGGGTGGGTCGCGGGGTGGGTCGCGGGTGGGTCGCGGGTGGGGTCCCCGATGGGTCGCGTGGTGGGTCGCGGGTGTGTCGCGGGTGGGTCGCGGGTGGGTGGGTCGCGGGAGGGTCGCGGGGTGGGTCGCGGGTGGGTCGCGGGTGGGTCGGGGGTGGGTTGCGGGTGGGTCGCGGGGTGGGTCGCGGGGTGGGTCGCGGGTGGGTCGCGGGGAGGGTCGCGGGGTGGGTCGCGGGTGTGTCGCGGGGTGGGTCGCGGGTGGGTCGCGGGGCGGGTCGCGGGTGGGACGACAACAACAAACAACAACAACAAGAATCCGCATCGCGGAATTGCAATTCAGCCGCGCAACCAGGGACAGTGAATGACCGTGCGGTTCAGCCCCCTCACTCTGAGAATGATGATGTATTGCCTACAATGATGTTGGTTGAGATGATGATGATGATGATGCTGATGCTGATGATGATGATGATGATGATCATCATGCTGATGATGATGATGATCGTGGTGACGCCGCTGATTACGATGATGATAATGGTTCTGATGATGATAATGATGTCGACGATGATGCTGATGCTGATGATGATGGCGACGATGATGACAATAGTTATGGTGATGATGCTGCTGATTCTGATGACGATGATGATTATCATGATGATGATGATGATGATGATGATGATGAGGATGATGATGATGAGGATGATGATTATTATCATGATTATTATGATGATGATTATTATTATTTTTTATTGTCATTATTATTATCGTGATGCTGATAATGATGATGACGATGATGATGATGATGATGATGATACTGACGATCATGCTGAATGATGATGGTGACGATGATGATGATGAGGATGATGATGATGATGATGATGATGATGATGATGATGATGATGATGATGGGCATGATGCCGTTGCTGCTGAAACTGACGATGGTTCTGGTGCTGATGCTGATGCTGATGATGATGGCGACGATGATGCTGATGCTGATGCTGATTGTGATGATGATTATGATTATGCTGATGATGTCGATGATGATGAGGCGGATGTGTGGATGATGATGAGGATGATGTTGCTGCTGCTGATGACGATAATGATGATGATGATGACACTGATCATACTGCTGTTGATTATGACGATGATGCTGCTGATGATGAGGATGACGATGATGATGATGATGATGATGACGATGATGATGATGATGATGATGATGATGATGATGATGATGATGATGATGATGATCATGATGGTGGTGGTGGTGGTGGTGGTGATGCTGGTGATGCTGGTGATGCTGGTGATGCTTGTGACACGGGTGATGTTGGTGACGATGATGCTGATGAGGCTGATAATGCTGCTGCTGATGATGATGATGATGATGATGATGATGATGATGGGCATGATGCCGATGCTGCTGATGATGATGATGATGATGATGATGATAATGAGGATGAGGATGAGGATGATGATGATGATGATGATGATGATGATGATGATGATGATGCTGATGCTGATGCTGATTGTGATGATGATTATGATTATGCTGATGATGTCGATGATGATGATGATGATGATGATGATGATGATGATGATGATGATGATGATGATGATGATGATGATGATGATGATGATGATGATGATGATGATGATGATGATGATGATGATGATGCTGATGCTGATGCTGATGCTGATGCTGATGCTGATGATCTGATGATGATGCTGATGGTGCTGATGATGAGGAGGAGAAGGAGGAGGAGGAGGAGGAGGAGGCGGATGAGTAGTAGGAGGAGGAGGAGGGGGAGGAGGCGGAGGAGGAGGAGGAGGAGGAGGAGGAGGAGGAGGAGGAGGAGGAGGAGGTGGAGCAAGAGAAGGAGAAGGAGGAGGAAGTGGAGGAGGAGGAGCAGGAGCAGGAGGAAGACGAGCAGGAGGGGGAGGATGAGGAGGAAGAGGAACTTCCTCCGGCCTGCATCGCCGCTCTCGATTACATGGCCCCCGCTCCTGTCGGGTCTCGCTGGCTTCAGTTTCCGAGGTCGAGGGCCGAGGTCCAGACCTCCGTCGTCGTGGAATGTGTAGTCCCGGCGCTGTTTTGCGATTTCGGGCTATTCTGGGCTATTTTGGACTCTCGGACTAGAACGCGCTCGAGCACAGTCATCAATCGATCAAGGATGATCGGGGGGCCGTAAAAAAAGAGCTACCGGAAAGGGCCAGCAATCCGCACACGTGCAGACGACCATGGACGCAGCCCTGGGGGAGGGGCCCACAGCTCTGGACCCGAGTCTGTGCCGTCCTTTGGCGGGTTGGGGCATGTTGAGGCTGATCGCATTTGATGTGCTTCTGGGGCGGGCTCCTGGTGGCCTCGATGGGGCGCAGCTCGAACATCTCGTGAAACTCGGAGGATGCGTCCGTGCCAGCAGCCAATCGCAGCTGGCAGCCGTTCTGGCGATCTGACGTGCTCTTTCGTCGCGGAGGCACCGCGCTGGAACTTGCCCGCCCCCGGGTGTGCGGGTGAGGGTCTCCCAGCACTCAGTTGTGCATGGGGCTCTGGGGCACGCAGGCCCTGCCTCTTCGGAGAGCTACCCTCGGCTCCGCCGCGGAATCGTGGTCAGGACGCGCTCCGGGGCTGGCTCCTCTTTTCGCGTGCAACGCAAAGTTTTTCGTTTTTATCCCGTCGTAGGAGGAGGAATGGGGTGAGGGGGAGGAGGAGGAAGAGGAAGAAGGAGGATGAGAAGGAGGATGAGGAGGAGTCCGCCTCCCCTCCCCCTTCGCCTCCCCTCCTCCTGCTCGCAGTCCACTGGTCCTCCCGCCCCGTGTCGTCTTCTTTTCTTTCTCCGAAGACTGTCCGGCTGCCTGCTGCAAGCTCCATCTCCGATCAGATTCGGTAGAATCATCGTTTGGCCGTGAAGGAATGCCAAGAGAGCTTCTTGAACCTCTCTCAAGTGCCGTCGGGGGGCAGTCTTGGCCCGTCAAGGGGCCGTCTTGGGCCGCCAAGGGTGATTCTTGGAGCTCTCTCAAGCGTCCCCAGACCATCTCATGACGATAAGCCTCGGGATCCAACGCAGTCGACCCCCCTGCGGTTCACCTTGGCATCTGGTCTCTCAGGGCCTCGCGGGAGACTTCTTCCGGGCGCTTCGTGGGTGCTTTTCGGGACCACTCGGGGCGTCTCGGGTGCATCCAGGAGCTTTGGGGGGGGTCTTTTGGCTTGTGGCTGCCTGTTTGGGGGCCGTCTGCTCGGCTCTCGAGGTCGCTCCGCCTTTTCCTCCTTTTCCCCTGTACACCTCCACCTCCCCCTCCTTCTCCTTCTCTTTCCCGTGTCTCCTTCCACCCCCCGACATCTTTTGTCGCTCCTTGGGTCTGATGTGGGTTTCCCGGCCTTCGTCCTGGTGTTCGGTCTAATTCAACACCCTGCACTTGCTCGCTGGACTTGGGCCGCGAGTGCTGCCCAACTAAGGGTCGGCACGAACAGGACCTAATGAGTTAGCTTTAGATCCCGCCGGGAGGAAGTACGGGGGGGGAGACAAGAGATGATGAAAGGATGATCGCCACGAAGAAGAAGATGTCCTTAGGGAAATGTGTCCCCGATGCGTTTCCTCGTTTTCGGCCTCGGCCCTTCAAGCAGCTTCTCAAGGCGGAGAGCATGTTCCAGGGAAGGCCCTAGCGTCCCGGACCCCTTTGCGGTTCCCCTTTCCTTAGCGGCACAGGGGGGTGACAACGGCGAGGGAGGGAGAAGGAGCCGGGGGCGCGGAGCAAGGAGGCATGGGGAGCAACCAGGAGGGAAGGCGGACATTTGTTCAACATCGGTCCCAAACCCCCACCCAGGGCCTATCCTGGCCAGATTTCCGAACCGCGTCCAGCAGTGGCGATGGGAACCTCCAGGCACGTCCACCGCCTCCGAAGCGTCGTCGTCGTCGTCGTCGTCGTCGCTCCTCGTCCATCGGCGGCCTCGCGCGCAGCCA